ATTGCAGGGCCTTTTTTAACACATTCACAAAATGTGATATGTTGTTGAATAATTTGTGTGAGTCCTGGAACAGCTCCATATTGAATTTTAGGGACAAGAGCATTTTAACAATGTGTGAAATTCTTAGGATTTACTTGATGGCGAGGCTGCAACAAAACAGAGATAAGATGAGAGACAACCCACTCAAAATTTGCCCTAAAATACTCAAAATTGTGGAACAAGCAAAAGATAGAGCCAATGAATGTATAGCCTACAAAGCTACAAATGGTATATATGAAGTAGAATATTGCTATTGTAGGCAATTCAAGGTGGACTTGGTAGCACATACCTGCTCATGTAGGAGATGGGACCTGACTGGGCTTCCATGTGGTCATGTTATTTGTTACATTTGGAAGAATGAAGATGTTGTTGAGAACTTTGTGCACAAGTGCTACATGGTGGAGTCCTATCTTAGGGCCTATGAACCTGCCATTATGTCCATTAATTCTTCTGAGCAGCGGCACAAATCAGGATTACCACCACCTATTCCACCCAAGTACAAAGCACAACCTGGGAGGCCAAAAAAGAGGAGAAGAGTTGTTGACTCTGAGATTGAGGAAGGAAGACTCAAACATAAGCTTGGTAAGTTCGGCCAAGTTAAAAAGTGCAGTGTGTGTGGCATAGCTGGGCACAAAAAATCAACATGCAAACAGAAAGCATCCCAGGTAGTTGTGTAGGTCATTTGGAGTTAATCTAATTCAAATTACTACTTCATTTGTAATGTGAATACTAATTTTATTTTATAGGCTACTGAAGTGAATGTGGAAGCTGAATTTACTAATGTCACTACTACCTAAGTACCTACTACAGTCTTGGAAGAAATGGTAAGTTTACCTTAAGTGGACTGTTGAAGTTGTATTACATTAACTACTTTTTAATGTACCTAATATACTATTTTATTAAAATTTTATGACCTTTTCAACTCTCAACAAAGTACCTCTATGGCCACATCTACGCTTCAAGGGGGAGGGCAACCAACATATGGTGGTCATGAGATTCGAGGGGGAGGGCAACCAATGGATGGTGGTCATGGGATTAAAGGGGCAGGACATCAACGTATTGTGGTCATGGGATTGAAGGGGGAGGGCAAGGAAAGAAGCTGAAAAAATTACCAAGCGTTCCAAAAAAGAATAGATGGGCTGTCACAAAGAAGAAGTGATTTCATGGAAGTGGATGGGTTTTTTGTGAAACTGTTATGCTAAAGTTGCATCCTATATTATGTAAATGGCATTATATTTTTGCTAGTGATGAACACTTATGCATCCTACATTTTGGAAGTCATAAACACTCATGCTATATTTGTTATAGCATCATATTTTTGGAGGATGTGCTTGACACTTGTATGTTGTGTAGCACCCTCATGTGTAAACACTTCTTAAACGCCTGTTTTGCTCATTATTATATGGGTGTTTAATGTATGTTTATTTGGATGGGCATGAATAAATATTTGTTAGCCTCATTGTTCTATTTGCTTGATAATTTTGTGATATAATATGAACTTACAATATCTGATATGTATCTTTGGGTTTTATATTATCTGGTCTGCATTTTTTGGGGTGTTCTGAGTTGAACTTTTATTCTTTTGTGAGCTTGTGTAATTACATATGTCCTTCCTCTCAGTGTTTTCATATGGCTTGTCTGAAAGTATAACATATGTATTAATCTACATTTTCATGGTCTGATAAGGTCACAATGTTGCTAGTCTTGTCTGTTAATACACCAAATTCTTTCCTCCATAAGCTCACAATGTTGCTAGTCTTGTTCAAATAGGGGGAAACAAAATGCTCCAAAGATGGAGGCAGAAGTCCCTCAACATACATGAAATGTTCTTGAGAGGAAGAATAAGATAAAGACCCCCAACATGTTTAAGGTGTATATTATCACTTATGGATACTAGCCAAATGGAGAGGAAGAACTTAGGTGTATTAGACCATGAAACATAAGATAAAGATACAACAACAAGATTAAACCGAAAGGTATATAAACAACAACTTAGGTACACTTATTATTTCCATGATTTTTTTGTGTGCATGAACAACAACCATTACATTAACTCAAAGATTCAATTAAACTACAACACACTTAAACATTAAAACTGAAACAAACACCTAAACACAGGACAAATGAACCCAACTACATGCTTCAATTTCTAATTTGAAATGTCAGAAATACAGGTCTGAAATTTTAATTTCGTGGATAGTCGAGGGACCAGATATGCAATTTTCCCTATTTTAAATCTTTTTTTTTAATAAACAATACATTTTTTCCTAATAAAAATAATTCTGTATTTTGTGTATTATATATGATAATTGGTATTATAAAACATATTTTAGGTTTTGTATTTTACAATTTATGTTACGTTTATATTTTAGAGTTGTATTTTTCATTTAATATTTTTAAATCTATTTATTATGTTTTAGATTTATATGTAAAATTACACACGCATGCAAACATGTATATATACTTCGTATTATTTCATTCTAAAATTATATAATATACTTCATACTAATTATATACACCATAAAAAATTTATACTATATAAAAAATATAATATGAAAATAGTTAATGCATTTTTATGTTATGTATATAAAAATAATTTATTTTTGTTATATTTTTTTTAGGGAAAAGGTGCAAATAGGTCCATGTACTAACCAAAAAAGGTCAAATAAGCCCTTATTTAGGAGTCTCTTTCCGGCCGTCGCCATTTGGAGTGGTTCCCGGTGGAATTTTTTGATGAATTTTTTTGAGAATCTTATTCATTAAGTCTAGTTTACTCATACCAAATTTCAGCTAAAACTTCAATCGGGAAGGCATTCAAATGAATTCTTGAAAATAACTGCGCAGTTAGAAGCGCAGTTATCTTCAAGAATTTATTTGAATGCCTTCCCGATTGAAGTTTTAGCTGAAATTTGGTATGAGTAAACTAGACTTAATGAATAAGATGCTTAAAAAATTTCATCAAAAAATTCCACCGGGAACTACCTCAAATGACGACGGCCGGACAGAACTTCTTAAATAAGGGCTTATTTGACCTTTTTTGGTTAGTACAAGGGCCTATTTGCACCTTTTCCCATTTTTTTATAAGCTTAATTTATTGAAAATATAAATATTTTCTTATTTATACATCTATATTTTATATTATGAACCTGTATATTATTTATATTTTTATTTTATATTTCTTATTTTTAATAGCAATTTTGACACTTTTTAACGGTTGAGGGGGTAAATTGAACGACTTTGTCGGGTTTAGGGGCCTATTTGATCTCTTAAATTGCCATGTGGGTGGCACAGCTGGCATCTGACCCAGAGACGTGGTAGTGACTAGACTTCTACCTATAAAAATGAGATTTGAATTTTTATCTAGTTCAGGAGGTGATTTGAAATTTTTTTAGGGTACAAAGGGCGAATTGTGCATTCTGGACGGGTACAACGGCCTCTTTGAACCTTTAACTCATTAAAAACAAAACATATTAACTATTTCCGTAAAGTAATTGATTAATTAGACTCATTGTTTTCATTAAAATTAATGTTTTATACTCCTACGTAGTACTTCCTACGTTCTTTAAAAGTTGCAACATTGAAATTTTTGCAATATTCACACACCTTACTTTGACTACGATTTTCTAATAATATATGTAATCAAATTATTATGTATAAAATTTTATTAAATTTCTGGTAATGTAAATGTCCAAAATGTTAACTTTTTTAATTTTTACTAATATGTACGGAGTAATTAAATAAAATTACGATTAAAGTTATGCGTTGACAAACGTGAAAGTAAAAATGTTGTGAACTTTTAAAGAACGGAAGATAATATCCTATAATTCAGTATTAGACAAGTCACATTTCCACTTGTTTAAAGTTACATTTTGTAACAGTGTGAGTTACATTTTGCTACACGCGAGTTAGAATGTTTTTACTTGGACGGTAATTTGCTGGCCTGAATTTATCTGTTTTAGTCTGGTCTGGTCTGTTAACTCTGGTCTGAATTGGTCTAGTCTGGTAACCGTCCGATCTCTGTGTATTTTATAATTACAAAAATTAAGTCTGGTCTGATGGTTTAAGTCTGATTTGGCCTCGTCTCAGAGCAAAAACATGTACCCTCATTTTGCTACTCGGACAGGTTTAAGAAGTTAATGTTCACGTTCACGGTAGACCTGTACAAAACCGGGCCGGCCCGCCCGTCCCGCCCAGCCCGCCCGCACAAATTAGCGGGCTTGGGCATATATATTTACCCACCGGCCCGGCCCGCAACAACATATGAGCGGGCTTGGGTTAGGGTGTAGGCCCGTTCGGGCCGATAAGCCCGACCCGCTACATTTAGTATATATACATATATATTTTTATATATACTAATTTATGTATTTATTTACATGTACACATGTATATTTTTATATTTACTAATTTATCTGCATACATATTTATAGTTTATTATGTTTAAATTTAAGTTTTTAGTTCTTAACAAATAGTCCAACCAATATAATATCTATTTTTGTACTTAACGATAATATTTTGTGCATGAATTTTAAATTTTAGATATAGTTTCTCATTATTATTTTTGTGTAAATACTTTTTGTGTATGTGATGAAAGGTCTATATACATTATAAGCGTATTAGCAATTTTTTAAATGTTATAATATTATTTATAAAGTATTAGATAAATTATATAATTTTGAAAAATTTAAAGTATTCCCGGGCCCGGCGGCCCGGTGGACTACCCGGCCCGCTCTTACGGGCGGGTATGGACATGGGGTTAGGCCCGTTTTTGCGAGCCGGGCCGTGCCCACCCACACACGATGAGCAGAAAATTTATGAAAAGCCCGGCCCGAGCCTGCTTTTGTGCAGGTCTAGTTCACTGTGTGAACATTAACACGCTTTTCCCGTGAGTTCCACCTGTTTACACTTTACAACTGTAGGCTTTATTGACCTTTATTACTTTTCTACTGCCCTCTGGTACAAAGTTGCTATTGCTTTCTCCAGCTTTTCCATTAACACTCCTTTTATGCCTGTATATGCATTTCACTATTTAGGAGATAACTCAAGAGAAAGAGAGTTAGGGGTTCTGAGCCTCACAGGTCGGGGGCGAGGCATTCGGAGTCTCGGACAGTGCCCCAGCGGGCGGTGGCTCTCTGAGTCGTGGTCGTCGGTGTTGCTATCGCCACGCTGCGAGTGATGACCGTGAGAGTGTGAGACCGTCTATTGACGAGTAGCTACGCACGCTGCAATAGATCTTGGAGTCCAGCCTGCGCTTCCGTCTAGTCCGGGCCGTCCGGCAGTTTCTCTGCCTCTGCGGCTCTGCCAATAGGTATGTTATTTTCTGTATAGCAATTTTCCATACGAATTTAGGTTGGAACTTATTTATTGAAGTTATTAAGTTATTCAATTGATTATGATTGTATTTAAGAATAAAGATTTGGGAAGAATTCACTTGATTACAACTAGCTATTGTTGGAGGATTCACTATTTAGGTTTCGATACCTAGTTTGGGGTAGAGTGACTATTCATAAATTGAAAAAATGCTTGAATCTTTATATGTTTGCTATTTTGGTGGAGACCTGCAAATGATTTCCATGGAAGGATACGGGACTTTACTTACCTTCACTTGTCAAGGCTTAGAGATTCACAAGAGCCATGGACTTAGTGCTGCTAACATTTGGAATTTCATTAAAGCTTATCAATTTAATTGCTTTAAATATTGCTAATCACAGAACTTGAGACCCTTGCCCACATTGAAATATTTAATATTGTTAGAGATAAACTTTGGTTTCTATGATGTTTATTAAAGATATATGTCTCTGTGTATTTCTTTTACCTTTCAGTATTTTAAATTGCTTTTTCTAATTTATGTGTGAAGGATATAGTGAAAGACTGGAAGATGAAGAAGCAGACAAGCATTGATTCTCATTTTAAGAGAAAAACTATTGATTTGAGTTGTAGTCCGAGTAATTCAATCAATGCAGAAACTCCAAATGTGGAAGTTACAAATACTTCCAAATATCTGGGTCGTTCTAGTCTTTCATTTGATATCAAGAATCTGGAACGTGATCCCGCAAAACGCCCTCAGATATGGGAATATCCTGTTAATCAAAGAGATGAAGTTATTCGAGCATATTTGGAGATGGGGCCATATCAAATACATTTATCGAAGTATCCCCTATCCGTTGAAGGAGCGCCGGGCACAATTCTAAGGTACCAACTGTTTTCTTTTGTAATAATATATTTGTCTCTTCTTCTATTTTTGCCTATTGTGTACTATTTTAATGCTTCATTTTATTACTATAATATAAAGGTTATAATAACTTATAATAACGAGCGCCTATAATTTTTTTGTTTAAATAATGGCCCCGACAAGATGAATTTCTTGGGTCCGCCCCTGATTCAGACAGTGCCCCAGCGGGCGGTGGCTCTCTGAGTCGCGGTTGTTGGCAAGGTTGTTAGGATCGCGATCTAACTCGTTGAATCGCACGATTTTACGATCAGAAAAGGGAGGGTCGAGTTGGATCGCTGCTAGGATCGGAAACAGGCCTGGGATCGCCGGATCGACGAGTAGAAACGTAACTCGTACGAATCGTCGATCTAATCGAGCTGCGATTTCTCAGAATAAAAAATGGGAAACGAAGGTGGACTGATGTCTGGAACGGCGAGTTTTAAAAAAATTAAACATCGATGCCTTATGATGAAACCCAAAAGCGACCCACAGCGTTGAGCTTCCCTACTTCATCTGCTTTAAATCATTGTTCCTCTTCGTTTTCTTCGTCTCTTCTCTGTTCTCGCTCTGTTCTGTGTCGTCTGCTTCGTCCACTTGTGCTTTTTAAAATCGTCCGCTTCCTTAGTAGTCAACTAGGTTTAGTGGTTCAGTTCTGATAGCAATAGTAAGTCCATGGGCTCATGGCTAGTGGGCTATCTTTTTTTTTATTAAATTGCCCCCTTCAAATGTTATGTGACGTGTTTTATATTATTGCTTTATTATTAATTACTAACTAATATATATTTTTTGGAAAATTTAATATTAATATCAATTTGGTGTTCACATAGAATAGAATTGAATTATATATATGGATGTGTATAATATATGTATATATATATAGCATGGCAGGATCTTACGATCCGAGTTACGATCCCCGAGTTACGATCTCCTAGACCCTGTCCGATCCGTGCTAGGATCTCGAGTTTAACAACCTTGGTTGTTGGTGTTGCTATCGCCACGATGTTCTCTGGAATTCAAGTCTGAATTCTCTTGACCACACTTTTCACAAATTGATGGTTTTACAGTGATTGTCCTTTAAAGAAAAAGAAAAAACTAACTTCCAGGGCAATACTTTAAGAAGTGTTGCTTATTCCCATATTCCCTTTTTGATTCTTTAATTTATTGGTCATTAGGTGTCAAGAGTGGAACTGATGGATGAAGTTCAAGTGCGAGCAATTACTGTCGCAAATGGGAAAAAATTGTGAGAAAGTACAACTCCAATGTTTGAATTTATATGCACAGGTGAAACATCCTCCATTTATATTCATAAGTTATTGGTTTTTGTTTTATATGGTGTAAGGTCATTTCCAAATCAATACTCTTAATTACTAAATTATAAATTAAAACTCCATATCTTTGACTAACTTCCGGGGTAATGGTGTAATATCTTTGAGAATTAATAAAACTCCAGCTGGTTTTCCACATTCAGAGAAAGTAAATAGATTTTCTGATTGGTATTTCCAGTTGATTGGTATATAACGTAGCTAGCTGTAAATAGATTTTCTGATTGGTATTTCCAGTTGATTGGTATATAACGTAGCTAGCTGCTCTACTGTTCAGTAACATTTAGCTGATGAAATAAGTAGTTAACATATACATGGAAGCTCAAGTAGTTTTTCTAAAAATCAAACTACCTGAAAATTTTTATTGAATTAGTTCAAGCTTATCGAATTATGGGTCATCCAGAAACAGTCTCTCGGTGCTTTAGTACAGGGTAAGACGCTTACATCTGACCCCCCCTTACCACATCGTAGATGGGAGCTTTTGCGGCACTGGGGTAATGATGATGATGAGTTCAAGCTTATCGAATAAGTTTCTACATCCAAATTATGCCTTATTTTATAAACTGCATAAAAAAGTTGATGATTACAAAGTAAGAAACATTTAAACATAAATTATTTCATTCCAGGATTGCATTCTCAGAAAGTATCAGGCTGTTTAACATCATATCCCACCACAATTCAGTTGCTGCAACAAATTTGAATTATGCCTTCCTTCTCCCATCAATAAATGATCAATTAAAAGTTAGCCGATTTTGACAATGAACTGCACCTACAATAATTAGAACTGCAATTTTGCTTATTAAGTGAAAATTTCTGTCAAAGAACCAAGAACCTATATCAAATTATCAATAATTTTTCACATACATTTTTTTCATAATAAAGCATTCAATAATATTCATTAGTATGTTCAATACATGCAGTATATTAACCCTTTCTCATTTCCATTCAACTGGCCATTCTGGTGGTGATCTAATAGCTGCTTGATTTAACCCTTTCTCATTGAAACATTTACTTTTAGGTTTTATCTATTTCATGTTTACTTTGTATTATTTTACCATTGACAATTGGCTACTTTTTAATGTAATAAAGTAAACTACCCCACAATATTACATATCAATATCAATATTAATATACAAACCACAGCAGAAATTATAAACAAGAGAGATCAATCATAGAGATAATAAGGTAATTCATAACTCTACTAGAGTCCTGGGCTGGAGAGAATAATAATATTAGTAATAGAATGATATTAAATAATTGTGGTAGTGTAAAAATAAGGCTTCCAAGCCCTATAGAATAGAATTACTATAAGAGTGGGAAGTGGGAAAGAAGGGAGTTAGGCAGAAATTGGATATTTGCTTGGCAGAGGGGGACGCTCTCGAATCAGTCCCATTATCGTTCTGTTTTTCACTGAATTAGCACAAGTTCTTCAAAAATACACTGAATTTACAGTCAATTTTTGGAGCCTATCAAACTAAAAAAAAACAAGGGTGACACAAAGCTTTATTGTCTATATTCTACGGTGTTGTTAACTTTATGTACATTTTATCTTAATCTTTATTATTTTCCAGACTTCTCGGAAGAATCATCAGACTGATCATCATCAGGCCGAGTTGTCACTGGTTTCTGTGGCTGGGTGGCTCTCTTACCGTTACCCTTACTTGGCTTAGTCCCCTAGGAAGGTCTAGCTGGGCTTTGCTGAACCATAAAGACTGTTCTCTTAAGCGACTCTTTGTAGACGATGACTGCCTTATCCCTCGGGTCTGCTAGATCGAGTAGTGAGTCCGGGATAGGCAGTGCTGCAGCTTTGTTGTTGTCTCTCTGGAAATATTTCACCTTGGGGGCGGTGAAGTGGTTGTCCTCCTTACGCTTCAGCATTGTCAAGCTAAGCTCCCTGGTTTGATTATCAAGCTTCCAAACTCATTGCTTTTTATTGTCAAGCCTCTTTATTTCTAGTTTTGTGCTTTTTTATTGCTAGCGGAACACTTCTCTACACAAGTGTTTACTTCAACGTGTTTCTTCTGCTCAAGAGTGCATAATTTTTAGCCAGATACCCTAATGTTAAACAATTAGCTCTAAAGGGCAAGATTTCAACCCTTTTCATAATGATGTACTGTTCTTTGCTTATAGTCTGCTAAATGGCGTCGGATCAGGCTCCAGGTAAGTCTTCCCTTTGGTTTCTTTATATCAAATAATTTTAGAAAGGAGGGTTATGTGCTTAAATGTTTTGATATTTTGTTATCTATCCCTAAACTATTTCCCTAAACTATTCTGCTGTTTGTGCTTGGACTATAGAATACTGCTGGATACTATAGAATACTGCTGGATCTGTCACACAGATTATGAATCTGGAGATGAGTTGACCATGTATTGGCCATGCTTTCACTATTTACATGCCAATTGCTATCGGCAGCTTCTCTCTTCTATTCATAATAAGTGTGCATGTGGTGGACGGGTGGGAACCGTGGGACCTTGGACTGTTTCTTTCCTTATTCCTGATACATATGCTGATATCGAACATGTTTTATAGAGTTGTCGTCAACGATACACAGATGAACTCCGGCTAATGGAGGTGCAGACATGTGGAAACTGTCTCAACAGTTTCATACCGGGAGAAACTATCCGTATGTATCTGCCATGTGGGCATCTTATACACGACTCATGTTAGTATCGCAGGGTAAGTCTGGGTCAAAATTGGGTTCTCAAGTATACATGCTACCGTTGCCATGTGGGCTTACTATTAATAGTGGGTGTCAACACCCTTGCCACAATAGCATGTATACTTGAGAACCCAATTTTGACCCAGACTTACCCTGCGATAGTAACATGAGTCGTGTACAAAATGCCAACATGGCACATACATACGGATAGTTTCTCCCGATATGAAACTGTTGAGACAGTTTCCACATGTCTGCACCTCCATTAGTCAGAATTCATCTGCGTATCGTTGACGACAACTCTCTAAAACATGTTCGATATCAGCATTTGTATCAGGAATAAGGAAAGAAATAGTCAAGGTCCCACAGTTCCCACCCGTCCACCACATGCACACTTATTATGAATAGAAGAGAGAAGCTGTCGATAGCAATTGGCATGTAAATAGTGAAAGCATGACCAATACATGATCAACTCATCCAGATTCATAATTTGTGTGACAGATCCAGCATTATCCTATAGTTCAAGCAAAAATAGCATAATAGTTTAGGGATAGATAACAAAATATCAAAACATTTAAGCACATAACCATCCTTTCTAAAATCATTTGATATAAAGAGACCAAAGGGAAGACTTACCTGGAGCCTGATCCGATGCCATTTAGCGACTACAAGCAAAGAACAATACATCATTATGAAAAGGTTTGAAATCTTGCCCTTTAGAGCTAATTGTTTAACATTAGGGTATCAGGCTAAAAATTATGCACACTCTTGAGCAGAAGAAACACATTGAGGTAGACACTTGTGTAGAGAAGTGTTCCGCTAGCAATAAAAAAACACAGAACCAGAAATAAAGAAGCTTGACAATAAAACGCACAGTTTATGCAATGAGTTTGGAAGCTTGATAATCGAACCAGGGAGCTTAGCTTCATTCAACTAAGGAGAAATTCACATTTGTCTGTTTACTTTGCATAGATGCACAAAAGTTATACAATCAACATTCTTCTCTCTAGATTTTCTATGTTGTTGCAGTATAAAATCAATTTTATCAATAAATTCGTGAGTCCAGTGAATAGCATGAAATCCTGTTGACGCAAATGATTCACTCTGACCTACAATAGACCTGAAACCCTTTGTGATTCAACTATACCCTACTAGAGCTTACTCTGTAGCTCAATAATGATCCATGAAGTCTCAATTCAATATAAAAAAATGGCATGCATATAAACTATTGCAAAATCAGGAACATGATTAGGCACTTAGACATTCATGAATGAACCGATCAAAGTCAATCAAATCACAGTTTTAGTGAAGTAAAAACCTAAACCTTATTACTCCAAGACTATGATGAGAAATTGGGAATTCCAGATGAGTATAGAAGTACGACTGAAGAAATATAGATATAAATGAGATTAAAACACAGAAACAATAAGTAATCTTATTCATGCCTCCGAATGATACATTACAACCGTTTTTATGTGATGAACATTCTCTACTTCGAACAGAATATCAGACATAAGTGTTTTTGGAAGAAGATAGATTGTGGTTGGTAGAGGATTACCACTAAGAGTCCTGGTCAAATTGCTCCTTCTCGTGAAGGTATAGGATTACCGCCGAAATTGCTCCTCCTCGTTGACGGTTTGCACTTCGCACGGAAGCACCACTTTGATTCCTTGCCGGGAAGCGGTCCTTCAATCGTTAGTATACAGATTTATTTGGCTTTGGCGGGAAGATTTTATTCTCCTGTCCTTTTTTCCTCGCCCTTTGTGCATTGATATTAATTAATACTCCCTGTATTATTAATTAAATTCAAAAAACAAAAATATTTCACATTCTAAATGTTCTAGGAATTATTCTTACTACTTTTATTTGATCAGATCAAATAAGAAAAATTCATATCAGATGAGGTCAGAAAGAATCTGATCAGCCCGACCAGATCAGATCACCACCCATACCACCATCATCATTATAATGGGCAAAAGGAACGGGGATGGGCATAACAATAGTAATTATTGTACAACCCTTGTCGGCATCCTCAGCCCTCTTTTTGTCTCGAGCCCACTTCTCGAACTGAGCGAGGAGGACCCCGTCCTCGAAATGCTCTTCCATGATGAACGGGGATGGGCTGAACTTATGAAGAATGGGAATAATTGCCTTCAGGATATGTATGCTTGACCATGGCATTTGACTAACTTTTCCCAACCGGGGTCTCATCAGCCGGGGCAATCCCCTTATCACGGAGCTCGGGACGGGGAGACTGGGCAAGATTGTCCCCAAACATTCCCCCCGGGTTAGCACGGCCATACTCATTGACCGCGTGGATGAACTCCTTAGAGGACCGTTATGCAGTAAATGATGCAACAAATCGGCGGTCACCTCAGGGGAGCATCCGGGATGTCGGCCTGAGCGGCTTTGAAGATGACTTGGGCTGCCCCTAGCCGCCACCTCCTGAGCAGCCGCATGGGTCAATATGTTTTTGTAAAAATTGAAGTACAAATGGTATTTTTTTTAAAAATTTATTTAAAAAAAATGAATGGTCCATGAGTGTACTATTTATTTTGCATTAGGAACTATTTCAAATTTATCAACTCATTTTGTACAGTGATTTGATGTACTTGGATTGATTTGGGATGGAAGGATATTTATCGCAATTCTTTTTCTTTTTTTAACATAAAAAGATGCATTTTTCTACTTCAATACAACAATATTTTTATATAGCAACTTATACAACATGTGAAACTAAATATTAATGGGAAAGTTCCCGAAATGGGACTAAAAAAGTTTGAAAATTCCAAAATAGGACTGTCATGTTTTTATTCCCAAAATAGGACTAATTACTGCCAAATTTGGAAAATACTGTCATGTTAGAAGTCTGGTACTGTCAAAACATGACAGTAATTAGTCCTATTTTGGGAATAAAAACATGGAAGTCCTATTTTGGAATTTCCAAACTTTTGTAGTCCCATTTTGGGTAATATCTCAATATTAATTAAAAAATTAGTACTTTCCAAGAAGACTAGAAATGAGAGCAGGAGTATTAATAATTACTTTTGAAAAATAATATGGTTCACTTTTCTACTACTACGTACTACCACTGTTCTAAAAATCGGCCTAGGCGGACCGAACCGATTAATCGGCCTAGGCACCCTAGTCAGACCTAACTATAGAGGCCTAGTCGGCCAAAAAATCGGCCTAGTCGGCCGCCTAGGCGCTAGGCGCCCCTCAAGCGCCTGACTAGCGCCTAGTGAGTTTTAGAACAATGCGTAATACTATTATTTTTCCGGAGCTCTTACACAATGCTTGCTCATAGATCAAAAAAGTCTGAAATCACCGAGCGCTAACAAAAAAGAGTGGTAGGAAATAGGAGTTTTGTTTTATATAAGAATTTCATTTCATGCTTGTAAAAAGGAATCTCAACTTGTAATCCTCCATTTAAAAAAAAAGAACAAAAAAGAAACTCTTGGAAAGGAATATTAGAGAATGACGTATGACTAATTAAGGTGTCGTTTGAAGGCATTATTTTTGGCCGATCCGCCTGAATTTGGAGGAAAATTGCCAAGCATGAAGCATCCACATATTGGACTATTTTGATTGACCAATCAGCTAAAAATATGGGGGAAGAGCTACTTTTTGGGCGGATACCTCTTCTTGTAATTAAAAGACCATTTTATCCCCTTAGATGAGCGTGCTAATAAGTAAACAATAAAATTTCCACTAATATACATATATTGTTTTTAGGTATAAGATAAGCGAAGTAGTGATTGAGCGGCTGAATTTTCTCTCTCTTATATACATAGTGCTCTTAGGTACTTCAGCCGTTCTTTAATAGTTGCAACATTGATTTTTTTTTTTGCATTATTCACACACTTTGCTTTGACCACAATTTTATACTAATATATGTGTGTGAGATCAAATTATTACGTACAAAATGTTAGGAGTATTAAATTTATATTAATGTGAATTTCCAAAATATTAACTTTTTTAATGTGTACATATACGTAATTAAAAATAATTACAGTCAAAGTTGTGTGGGAGAATTTAGTAACTTTAGGTTAATAAACAGACTAATAACTGAGCGGAAGAATTATTTCTCTCATGTAAGTCATGTGTAGTGCTTTAAGGTATAAGATAAAGGCAAAATATGTCGCACAATCGGTTGTACCGTGAACATGATACAACCAAGTATTTTATGTTAAAATAAATGAGTATGAAGTTTAAACGAAATGAGTACTGGTATTAAATTGAATGATAAAATTAAATTAGCACAATAAATACAATGATAATATAGTTAAATAAATAAGTTGACTTGTAGCATATATATGACGTGTACATCATTATACTCAATTGCATGCTTCTAAGTTCTAATACTCAATTGTGCTACCAATACCTCACAATTTAATACCAATACTCATTTCATTTCAACATTATACTCATTAAGCATAACATAAAATATCTGGGTGTACAATGAGCACTGTACAACCGAGTGTGCGGTGTATGCTCTCATAAGATAAACTGACTAATAATTGAGTAATAATTTTCTTTCTCATATTTAATGCTTTTAGTAACTTCGTATAAGATACGATAAGACAAACGGACTAACAATTGAGTGGGTGAATTTTTTTTCATACGTAGTGCTCATAGGTATAATATATGAGCGAGTGAAGTTTCTCTCTAATATGTAGTCTTTTAGATATAAGTAAGCAAACTAATAATTGAGCGGGAGAATTTTCTCTTTCACATGTAGTGCTTTTACGTATAAGATAAGAAAAACGGAATAATAGTTGAGCGAAATAATTTTCTCTCTCATATGTAGTATGTTGAGGTATAATAAAAGCGTACTAATAATCATGAGAGAGTATTTTATCCCATATGTAGTGTTTTTAGGTATAATAATCTAAACGAGCTAATAAATGAGCTGGAGAAGTCCCCCATATTTAATATATTTAGGTATAAGTTAAGTGGACTAATAATTGAGCGATAAAGTTCTCTCTCTCTCTCTATCACATGTTGTACTTTTAGGTATAAGATAAGATGAGCGGACTAATCATCAAACAAAAAATTTCTCTCTCATACTTAATATTTTTAAATATAACATTCATGAAATCAGTTTCTTGAGATGTCACAGCGACAATTGCTGTTACTACAAGAAGACTGAGAATTGTTATCTTATCTTGCTATTATATGTAGATGACATGTTGATTGCAGGAGCTAGTTCAAAGTAGATTGAGAAGTTAAAGAAACAGTTGTCAGAACGTTTTTCCATGAAGGATCTTGGAGAAGCAAAGCAGATTTTGGGCATGCGAATTGAGAGGGATGAGGCAGTGGGCAGATTGTATCTTTCACAAGCAGAATACATTCAGAAGGTCTTGGAAAGATTCAGAATGCAAGATGCAAAGGCAGTAAGTGTACCGTTGGGTAGTCACTTCAAGCTTAGCAAGGAAGACTCACCGAAGAACAAGGAGGAGCGTGCTCAAATGCAGAAGGTCCCATACACATCGACAATTGGCTGCATAATGTACGCGATGGTGTGCACAAGGCCAGACATTGCACATGCGGTGGGAGTAGTGAGCAGATACATGGGAGACCCCGGGAAAGAACACTGGAAAGTTGTGAAGTGGATCATGAGGTATTTGAAAGGTACTGCTTCTAATACTTTGTGTTTTGATGGGAAGAATGTAGAGCTGCTGGGACACGTTGATGCAGACCTGGCATCAAATGACTCGGATGGATCGAGGAGCACCACCAGGTATGTTTTCACATTCGGTGGAACGGCAGTTTCCTGGCTTTCACAGCTGCAGAAAATTGTTGCATTATCTACCACTGAAGCTGAATATGTGGCCATTACGGAGGCAAGTAAGGAGATGGTGTGGCTTCAGAATCTACTCGGGGAACTTGGGAAGGAGTACAAGAATAGCATTCTTTACAGTAACAGTCAAAGTGCTATCTTTTTGGCCAACAACTCAGCTTTTCACAAGAGAACCAAACACATTCGGTTAAGTATCACTACATCCGTCATCTTCTGTAGATAGAGGCATTGCAGCTTGTGAAGATCCGTGGGAGTGAGAATCCAACAGACATGTTTACTAAGGTGGTAACCTTGGAGAAATTGAAGTTTTGCATAGCTTCAATTGGTCTTGGTACTTGAAGAAGGTCGGCGCTACCATGCTTACAAGGAAGATTTGAAGAAGACATTCTCTAGGTGGGAGATTGTAAGGTGTTAGAGACTGTATAACCAATCTCTATTCGTCGAAAATTTTTGTTCCGTTTTTTACGAACAAGTTTTCCGTACAATTCCGTACAAGTGGGCCGTACGGATTCCGTACAGTTAGGCCGTGCGGATTTTTTCTTTTTCTTTTTTTTTTTTCGCCCAAGCCTCCTAGTTGGATTAGGGGTATGTTTTACTCTCTATAAATACAAGCTCTCTCCCATTGTAATTATGTGGATCCGAAAATAGCAATAATATTCCTGGTTTGGTAGCGCCCCCAGACGTAGTCATTCGTGGGGAACTGGGTTACCAAATTTCACGTGTTCTTCGTTATTGATTTTCGTGTGCGTTAATTAAATTCCTAACATTGTTTAGGCTTTAAAATTTACTGGTGAATGAATATGTCAATTTTACATTTTCCGGTATATATACATTTTCAATTTAAAGTTGGTATTGGAAGTTACATTTAATAAACAACATAAAAATTGGTTGAATTCTCTCATTAAAAAATTGGAGTTAACTATTAAGCACATTGATTTAGGTTAAGGGTTGTTGGTTTTACGCTGAGAATTGGGCTTATTTGGTATGCAATGCTAAGACCTGTTTTAAGAAGTTGAAATATGAGGGAGTGTCACTCTACTGCTACAACTGTCGAGAGGTGAAACAGGCAGGTGTTTGGAGATACATGCTGAAATTGAGTGACAGACATGGTCACTGTTTTGCTGAAGTAGTCATGTGGGATGAGGTGTCATGTAAGCTGATCAGGAAAGCTGCAAATGAACTAAATGATTGTCTTAGCATGGTAAATTGTTCATTTGTCATGTTTCATTTTTCTCTAGCATTAACAATTTGTCTGTTTTTCCATCCTTTGCAATGGAGCCAAAGATTCATTATTTTTTGGCTTGAGAATATGATGGAATAAGACAAAATGGTTCACCAAACTGTCTGCTCTTCTTTGTTATGAAGCAGCAGTCAATCTATGCAATTTTGGTCGCGATTTTCATTATGGGTCATCCGGAAACAGTCCCTTTGTGCTTTAGTACGGGGGTAAGACTGCATACATCCGACTCTCCCTTACCCCACCGTAGGTGGGAGCCTTTGCAGGTAAATGATGATTGATGATTGATTAACAATATGTCTGTGCTTTAACATTAATCATTTTCTTCTTTTATGCAGGATACTTTATCACCTTCTGAGGTTGCCAATTATATCTTGGATCTTCAAAATTGGGAACTGCAGAAACAATAGCATGACGGTTCAAAAGGAGTACACAATAACTGCGTTTTCTGAAAATGCAGAAAAAATTAAATTAAAGAGCTTAAGGAGGCTAATGATGAAGTTGTCAAGGTACTAATATTATTAATCTTAAGAAAATAAATTTGAACAAACTGAAAACAGATGATAATGATTGCTACTGGCAAAATAAGTTCTGCTATATTATTCACTATATTTCAAACTAGCGGTTTCTTAGCCTCTCAATTTTCTTAGCCCCTCAATGCCTTGGATACGTAACCTTTACTTTCCTTTTAAAATCATGCTAACATGATGTAGAACGTTAGTGCACTGAAGTGGATTAATTAAAATAATCACAAACCAAAGAGTGCCAAAAAATCTGACATGTTCTTCCCGGTCAGTGTGTCGATTCCAATATTTCATTAGCTTATTTGTACTTGAATTATAGAGATTTTGAACATGTATATTTAATTGATTTATATTCTCCAGAAATTTGCTTATTACTTAAATGTATTGTAATCTATATGTAAACTTGAACACTTAAACACTAACACTTGGTAATTATCCTTTTTATTCGATAAAGGTGTATAATTCAGACTCCGATCTTGAGTTACTGTGGAATGAAGATGCAAATGTGGAATCAAATATGGTAAAGTGTTAACAACATTGTTTTAAATAGATTATTACACATGTGATGAATATAGAAAATGCACTAATCAAGCCTGTGCTATTTTACAGGCTCTGTGCTCAACAGAGATGGAATCTAATCAGACCCTTGAGCCTGTTATATCCAAAAGGCATGCAAACGAAGAAAGCAGTGAATATGATGGGGGGGAAGAGAGATCTGCGAAGAAATTAAAGGGTGTCAAGATTGAGATTTGACTCCGTCTACATTGATCAATTTCTTTATCTTTGATTTTTAATTTATTTTATGCTTCGATACACTTAGATGTTTGGGATTTGCGCTGTTGCGTGATTTTGGTTATTATGCTGCCTTGAACAAGTAGATACCATGATACATGAGTATTATTTCAATATTATGTCATTTAGGTGCCAGCTTAAGGTTTTTACTTAACCTTGATGCACTTAGTTTTTATAGTTCGTATTTCAAATCTCAGTTTATCCTAGATTTATAGAGCAGGCTCTATGAGATGCATAATTATTTATCTACTTAGTTGACTGCTTCTTATAGTTAGGACTAAGGATAATCGTATGATGCACAATGGCTTATAGTAAATGTGTTTGCAATTCTGTTCTGTACTCGATGATTTGGAGTTGTACCAAACACGAGTTTTAGTCTGACTGGGTTACTCATTTAAAAAGGTTAACAGCTTATGTGTGAGTTTGTATATCATATTTGAGTTTGTATATCATATTTAACCAGTGTGCAAAAACTTATTTGATCAGCGTGCAAAAACTGTAATGTTAAGCACGGCTGGGTTACTCATTAAAGTATATAATATTTTTTACGAGCATGCTCATCATGAAGTATATCACTACAAAATTACAGTTTAAAATTTGATCGAATAGTTAATTAAATAAATGTTTTTATATATGATCCACAATGTTATAAATATTTTTGAAATGATTTTAGCTTCTTTAATTTATTAGTGTAACTAACAATATGTATGATTTACTATTACAAGCTTCTAACATATTTACTACTGATTATATGAAGAGTAAAGATCATATCTATCCAGATTGACGAGACTCCCGTCCAGCCAAGATTGTTTGAGAGGCTTCATGGTGAATTTTTTTATGATTTTTTACGAGCATGCTCATCATGAAGTTTATTTTATCACTACAAAATTAGAAATTCAAATTCGATCCAAAAGTTAATTAAATAGATGTTTTTATATATGATAGACAATCGAACATGCCGGATTATTCAACCACATGTGAATTTTAATTGATTAGTGAAACTAAAAATATGTCTGATGCAATATAGATAGTTGATTTACTATATGGACATACTCTAATTGTATCCTATTGCAAGCTTATTACATACGCAGTAAAGTTACTATATGGAGAGACTCTAAAAAGTAAAAATCTCATCAATCCGGAATAACAGAAGTCGCATCCGGTCAAGATTGTTTGAGCGGTTTCCTAGTGGATTTTTTTGATTTATTTTTGTGGAATATTATATTTTAATATAAATAGCAATTGTATTCTACTTTATTGACATACATGCATGTCACATACGAAATACTTCATGCTTTCTTAAATAAATGCAATAGTCAACATTTCACATTTGTCGAGGCGCAACTTTGACCATTAATATGGTGTCAAAAAAACTTTGACCATTAATATATATAGTTCTCTATTAGTAAAAACTTGATTTTGAAAATTTACGTGGGAAAAATTAGATAATATTTTTCCAAAAATATATATTAATATATTAATAAATAAAATATACTCAATTATTATAAAAATATACTCCGTATACTAAACTGATAAGGCTAAAACATTCCCATATTGAATGGACTCTAAAGACTCCTTTACGTATATAGCATACTATATTCCAAAAATAATAAATGAGCTAGACAAACAATTATTTAGTCTATTTAGCATATCCGCACATAAAATTATAATTTAGAACAACAACATCCAAGCCTTATTCCTAAAAAAAATTGGGGCCAACTAAGAACACTCTAAGATAATATTTATTTTTTAAAACCGGGTCAATTAGGGTCAAAACCGGACCGGACTGGAAAATTCAGGCCCGGACCGGTCCGGACCGGTTAGATTCAGGTCCGGTCTCCGGTCCAAAGAAAATGATGATTCCGGTTCCGGTCCTAACCGGTTCCGGTCCGGTCCGGTCCGGTTTTGGACCGGTGCACACCCCTACTTCTAATAGTAATATTGGTGTCCCCTCCCAATGAAATTCTCAATTTGATCCAGATTCATATTTATATAACTAAAAAAACTAACTTTAAAAAAATATATTCCCTCTGTGCAGTTAAATGCGCAGTTATCTTCAAGAATTAATTTGAATGTGTTCTCGATTGAAGTTTTAACTGAAATTTGGTATGAGTAAACTAGACTTGATGAATAAGATGCTCAAAAAATTTCATAAAAAAATTCCACCGGAAACCGCCCCAAGTTGCGACGGCCGGACAGAGCCTCCTACATAAGGAGTTATTTGACCTTTTTATAAAAGTTCAAGGACCTATTTGAAAGTTTTCCGTAATGAAAACTATAATTTGGGACATGAGGAAAGAGAGAATTTCTTTTGGAGAGGAGGAGCATTATTTTTAATAATGAAAAACGGATTACGTAGTATATTTTAGGGGCAAATTTCCCAATACATGCATAATATACAATCCGGCGGCCTATGTATCAATAGAATATGTGGTTGAGCAATCTTAAAATAGCCTCCTCCCCTTGATCCGCAATGCTCTCGGTGACAAATACCAAAAAGAAGGAAAATAATGATTTGGTCATGGATTTATGATCATAATGAAATATGCATGATATATTCATACAATATATAATTTAAAATACATAAAAAAAAACTCGATCAAGGCAGCAATATATTGCCATCCGGCGGCCACCGTGGTTAGCTAGCGAACAGATCTCCGGTCAATGAAAGGCACGGGAACCCTTGGCTTTTGTGTACGTATTAATATGATCATAAACATCGATCATCCTTTATATATATTCAATTTATGTGTGTATTTTATATCTCTCCACGTAGGAACATATTGATGAGATCACCTTTCACAAATCATGCTTCTAGCCAACTGCTTGTTCATTGTGCACATTACGGTTTAGATAGAATGTACCAACAAAAAATGGCTTGATATTTTTGGATTTTGGGCATGATATGATGGATGATGATACAACCCCAGACGTGGCTAGGATGAATTATACACTCCCAGTTTGACTTTTATGTTTGATCTTAAATATCTATAAATTTATACTCAAAAAATTTATAATAAATCAACATTTCAACAATACATATTTGCAATGAAATATATGAAATTAACTTTGTGTGATGAAGTAATGTAAATTTAGTACTCCGTATATTAATGGGACAAAGATGTTTAATTGTGGGACAGAGATAATATATGTTTATTCACTCCTAATAGAGAAAGTTTTATATTTGTAATAGGATCCAATAAGTCTAATGTTATAAATAAAACACATATAGTCCTATTTGTGCATTTTATCTAAGTTTTAGTCCTATTTATAGCAATTCCTACTATATTTTATATGTAGTGGTTTGATGTATGCAGATGAGGTATGATACCACCTAGCTATGTAGTACATGCGGCATGCAATGGGAAGGCAAGAGAGTTGAATTGGTACCGAGCCACTGAGGACGAACGCCCAGCCCTGTGAGTACGTACACCCATCTCCATGGTCTACTTAGTAAGGAACACGCACAAGTGGGTTGGGGATGATAGAATTTTAAGAATATAAAAGGCACAACGGTGATGTTAAAATATTTGTCTCACACCGGAAAAGTTATAATACAATAAAACATTATATAAGACTTTATGTTACTCTTTCTATCATGTTGATTTTTTGGATAAAACTCCGGGTCTTAACATGATATCAAAGCCAAATCCGATTGTGATTTGAGTGCTTATTAAGCACCGATGATAAAGAGTAGGTTTTTAAGGGTCTGTTTGGCCCATCTATACATGCCATTATTGTTCAGTCCGGTTTGGGCTGAGGATGCGTGTTAAAGTATTTTTCCCACACTGGAATCTATAAAACAATACTACATACGAAGTACTTCGTATAATACAGTACTATATATGACTTTGGTTTACTCCTCCTATCAATTTGATCTTAGATTTTTTTACTATTCTAAGCTCCAAAAAGTACGAAAGAGTAATATGTCTTCATAAGAAGTAGGAAATTCAATTTAAAAAGTGTTCATATTTCACAATTTAAAAAGGAAAGTGTATCTTGTGGTGAAATGCATAAATGATATCTTAACTATTGGTATTGTTACATTTTGGTAGCTTAACTCGTAAATGAATCAAAATGGTATTTTTAACTATACATAAATGTTTGAACTTGCAATATTGTTCAAATTTCCGACCAAAAAACTACATGTCTTAAGGTATAAAAACTGCAACAATACCAATAGTTAATATACTCCATCCGTCCCTTATAATTTTGATAACTTTTCTTTTTTGGATGTCCCGCTAACTTTGACATTTTTCCTTTTAAATAAAAAATTTGTGGTTCCAGTTAATTCTTTCTCCCCTGCACAAACCTCAATCACACAGTTTTTACTTTATTAATCCCAGTGTCGGTCAAACTTGGCAAAGTATTGAGGGGGAGGGAGTACTATTTATGCATTTGAGTACCATCTTGGCAAGGGGGAGAGAAGAGTCCTATTTGAGTATTTGTCCCTAGCTAATCATATATGAGGCCGGCCGGCCGGCCAATGATTGCAGGTACGATGATGAGCAGTACAACACGCAGCGGCAACAACAACGATTTATTGGTCAAAGGTGGTGGGGATGAGTTGTTGCTAAAAGGGAGCACTAGCTATCACCATCCCCGGAATGAGAGCATAGCAGAGAGTGGCAGCTGCAGCAATAATGCCGCGGCGGCGGCGGCAACGAGCTTGAAGCCCCATACTGGCGGCGACGGCCGATGGGACGCCATTAACTTAGCAGCAGCAAAGGCGGCGGGTGGCCTGGGGCTGAACAATTTCCGACTGCTGAAGCGGCTGGGTTATGGAGACATCGGAAGTGTGTACCTGGTTGAGCTCCGGCGAACCAACACATTCTTCGCAATGAAAGTAATGGACAAAGGGTCTCTGGCCAGCAGAAACAAGCTGATCCGAGCCCAAACAGAGAGGGAGATTCTGGGCCTGCTTGACCACCCCTTCCTTCCCACCTTGTATTCCTACTTCGAAACCGAAAAGTTCTACTGCCTGGTGATGGAGTTCTGCAGCGGAGGCAACCTCCACACCCTCAGGCAAAAGCAGCCCAACAAGCATTTCAGCGAGGAGGCGTCCCGGTTCTACGCCTCCGAGGTGCTCCTCGCGCTCGAGTACCTCCACATGCTCGGCATCGTTTACCGGGACCTCAAACCGGAAAACGTGCTGGTCCGAGACGAGGGCCACATCATGCTGTCGGATTTCGACCTCTCGCTGCGCTGCTCCGTCAACCCCACTCTCGTCAAGTCCTCGTCCGTGCATAATCATGGGACCGCAAGCAGCAGCAGCAGCGGGATCTCGGCAGCAGATGACGAGAGCGCTGCTGCGGCTGCGCAGGCGGGGTGCATCCAACCATCATCCGCCTTCTTGTTCCCCCGCGGCATCCTCCCCACCAGCAAAAAGAACCGGAAGTCCAAATCGGACTTCGGGCTGCTCGTTGCTGGGTCGCTCCCCGAGCTGATGGCGGAGCCCACCAACGTGCGCTCGATGTCTTTCGTGGGCACCCACGAGTACTTGGCACCCGAGATCATCCGCGGAGAGGGCCACGGCAGCGCTGTGGACTGGTGGACTTTCGGGATATTCCTGTACGAGCTCCTCCACGGCATGACCCCATTCAAGGGCTCGGGCAACCGTGCCACCCTGTTCAACGTGGTGGGGCAGCCTCTGAGGTTCCCGGATGCCCCACAGGTCAGCACGGTCGCCCGGGATCTCATACGGGGTTTGCTCGTCAAGGACCCTCACAAGCGGATCGCCTACAAGAGGGGCGCCACTGAAATCAAACAACACCCATTCTTTGAGGGCGTGAATTGGGCCCTGGTGAGATCTGCCCTTCCTCCTTATATCCCCGAACCTGTCGACTATTCCGTATTCGCCACCCCCGCCCACTCCTCTCCTCCTTCGCCCCACCACAACCAGCAGACGATGCCTCCTGAAATCGGATTGGAATCCCACACCACTTCCACCCCTCCCAATTCCTCTCCCTCTCCCTACGTTGAATTTGAGTACTTTTGAATTTACTACACATTTTTTTATAGAGAAAGAGAGCTAGAGGGGGATGCCGGTTACTTAACTAGTCATGTAAATGAATTTGTTCATACTCAACGATATGCACATTATTATTCCCATTTCATAAAACTCGTGGATATTTGTTTTCTTATTCTTTTATGCATCCAACTTTACTTTTTATTCATATTCCATTCAACTCTTATTTCAAATACATTTTAGTTCAACATGAATATTGGAATTCAAATAAACTAAAGTTTCACGTTTTAACAAAATAATTGTAAATCTAATGTCACGTGGTAATGTCGACAATCTAGTTAATCCCTCCTATATAATACAAGACTTGATCACACACTATCCCATTCAAAACAAATTTTTTAATATGCATTAAAATTTTACTACATAGTATTTAAAAATAGCCACAAAGGGCCTAGAACCCGAGCACCTGGCCTAAGCCCAATATCGAAATATTAAACCAACAGAATAGAAGAGCAAGGTATAGACCACACCTCTATTATATTATACTCCGTATTATATATAATCTACGTAGTATTATATATTATGGAGTCTATTATATTATGTGGAGTCTATTATATTATGTTTCATACGTTCTTTTTTTAATTGCAACATTCTCAGTTTCAAATTTGTCAATGCACAACTTTGACCGTCATTATAGTAAAAAACACATTTAAGAATCATATTATAGAAATTTAATGAGATGAATTCAGCATTCTTTTTTAAAAAATATTCTTATACATCAAAGTAAATAATGTGAATAGTGTAAAAAAGTTCATGTTGCAACTAAAAAGAAACATGGTCATATGACACTCATTTTCCAAGATAGAAAGATGAGTCACTTTCTTTGCAAAAATGGGTTAGATAGCCTTGACTAAGAGTCCAAAACTTTTGAAAAGCTCCAGCAAGAATTTTCCATAAGACTAGACCTTCCGGGTTAAAAAAAAGTTATTTAATCCATATGCTAAATTTTGGATTCTTAGTGAATCTGGATTCTTAGTGAACTTGGGAGTAGCAGTCGACCGACCTTATATAAAGTGTCGACATCTATCATAGCAAAACAAATAATGGCACATTTTTTCGAGATTTAGATTCTCCCCTATCTTTCAAAAATGTACTCCCGTAAAATTTGGCCAATTTGACTTGCACGTAGATTAATAAAGTAAAAACTATTTGGTTGATATTCATGCGGATGAAAGACAAATAACATTAGCCACATTTTTGTTACTTTAAATGAAAATGGCAAAAAAATTTGAAATGGCCAAAAAAGGAAAGTTAACCAAGTTTTATGGGATTGAAGTACTGTGATTCATCATGGATTTATGGCCGCTGATCTCTTTATGTCATTGTCTAATCTTTCTTTGAGCAACGTTACCCCTGGCCCGCTAGTACTGTACCGGATAATTTATGAGTAAAGGATCAGTTTGGTACTCGAAGTATGAGTACCAAACTTATTTGGGGCCAAATAAGTCCTTACTGTCCTGCCATCGCCATTTGGGGCGGTTCCCGTTGGAATTTTTTGATGAAATTTTTTTACCATCTTATTCATTAAGTCTAGTTTACTCATACCAAATTTCAGCTAAAACTTCAATCGGAAAAGCATTCAAATGAATTCTTGAAGATAACTGCGCAGTTATCTTCAAGAATTCATTTGAATGCCTTCCCCGTTGAAGTTTTAGCTGAAATTTGGTATGAGTAAACTAGACTTAATGAATAAGATGCTCAAAAAATTTCATCAAAAAATTTCACCGGGAACCTCCTCAAATGGTGACGGTCAGACAGAGCCTCCTATATAAGGACTTATTTGACCCTTTTTATGCAACTTCGAGTACCAAACTGACTCTTTACTCTATAATTTATTAAGCCGAGCATTCCCTACCAACCAAGCAAAACCCACGCCCTTCTTGATCCTAAACACTAAAGTCTCAAGTTTGATTAAAGAGTGTCTAAACTCCTCATGGAATAGGGATGGACTAGGATGGGTCAACCTGGCCCGACACTCTGCAAGCCTGGACCAAACCAGTCGGCGGGTACTGGGGGGTCGAACCGGGGTTAGGGTGGGCAGGATCCGGGATTGGGCTTTGGATGTCCAGCCAGGCCAATCCGGGCCAATTTTTTGTTTGTATTTTTGGCATTAGGCCGCTACTAAGTGGGTTGGGCTGGGTGTTTTGGCAGGTTTTGTAGGGTGGGGGGGGGGGGGGGGGGGGGTAGAATCTCGGGCCGGTACTGGGCCTTAAGCCCAAAAATCCAGTACCATCCAAGACCGGCCCGGAGCCCGACCCGAACCCAGTCCACCCCTATCATGGAATATATGGTTCAAGCAAGGTATATATATTAGGCTCAGGGGTGGAGCCGGGCCGGTTTAGGCCCGGTCGGGCCTTTTGTGTTTGGGGGAAGGCCCGGGACCGGCCCGGGTTGCCGCCGGGTCCGGGTCGGGCCTCGGGCCAATTTCTATTTATTTTTTCCTTTTCCTAATTAACCCCCAACCCCCCCCCCCCCCCCACCCACCCCCACCCACCCAAACCACCCCAAATGGCCCAGATTACCCAGCCCAACCCGGGTTTTCAAAAAAATTGAAAAACCCAAAAAAATATGGCCCGAACCGGCCAGGCCAGTTCCTTATTTACATGACCCGAGCCCGCACTGGAAAACCCCCCAGGCCGGTTCCTTTTTTACATGACCCGAGCCCGCACCGGAAAACCCCCCGGGCCGGGCATACCGGGACCGGGCCGGGCCCAACAGTACTGGGCCGGGCCCAACAATACCAGGCCGGTTCCGGGTCAGACCACCCGACCCGAGTCCACCACTAATGAGGCTGATTCATATATACGTAGTATGTGCTGAACATAAGTTGTGTAGTGGAGGTTCTAATTTCTATATACTTGAAATTGTTGAAAATGATAAAGTTTAATGAAGTTTAATGAATCGAATTCTCAATTGCTTTGTTGAACACAACTACACAAGGATAGACTTAGAGCCTATTCGATAGCACGAAAATTGGCTGATTTGGCTGATTCTGCTGAAATTTATGAAGTTCTGGCTGAAGCGGCTAATTCTGTTGATTTAAGAAGAAGAAAAAAATTAAAATATATTTTATTAATAAAATAAAGAACAAATTATATGTAAAAATAACTAAAATGGTCAGTAATTTCAGCCAATACAACCAGAAAAGTAACTTCAACTTTACTTTTTCTGCTTATTACACAATTTAGCACGCGAAAGCAAAAAATATGTGTTTGGTGAAAAAGTTGGTTGATAAGCCGAAAAACAGTTGCCAAACGATCTCTTAGTAATTCTATGCAGCTTAGACTTAGTCTTGGAGTCGCATTTTAAATATTTTTCTTTGTTTTATCTTCAGAAAAAAAGCTGTTGAGTGTTGAGATAAAAGACTGTTCCACTAAAGCTAAATTAATAACATGCTTATGATTTACAAAACGAATGTAGAAATCATCACCCAAAAAATAGGATATAAACACTTGTATGAATCAGCAGGCGGTCTAAGATATGTTCTATCCTAGTAAGTGCCGCAAAATGGCAGTTTTTCAACTAAATCGCGAACCCAATTCTGCCCATCGTCCTGCATAATCCCAGTTCAACAAGCACAAATGAAAAGCACCTGGTTTCACCTCAAATCCTCAATCCTCAATATCATGTACCCAAGCCAAATCTGTCAATAAAATATTCAGGAGTACCATTCGTATTACAAAGTCAGAAACTTAAAAAAAAAAAAGAATCCAACTACAAAAGGAAGTAACCAAAGTACTAGCTAGGCAAAAGACACAGTCCAATATTGATTTAGTTGTGTACCCCTTCGCAGGGGCGGAGGTGGGGGCCTGATTGGGTCCCAGTCCAGCCAAAATTTGAAAAAATACTTGTACTCTAAGTGTAAAAATTTATCCGCAAAAAAAAAAAACATTGTGCTTGCCTACCCCAAATTTGGATGTCTACCCCCTTTGTACAAGTAAAAAAGAATTATGATCATTGCCAAAAAAATCATTGGTAGCAGCATTCTGTTGAGCAATAAGCGCACAAATTTGCATGTCTATCCTCAATGACTAATAACAAGTCAAAATACTTGAAAATTGTCTGTAATGATCATATTAATTGCACAGTCATCATAACAATCTTTGCAGTGGCAGGCTTGGAACTTGAGAAACCAAAACATCATAAAAATTCGGAGTTGCATAACAGGGTGCAGCGGCACAACTCTGGGATAGAAAGGAATTCGGCATACATCTTAAGAAAATACCATCTAAAGTAGGTGCACAAGGGAAAGAAAAACACTGTACTTGGCTTCCTTTCAGTACAAAGACTAAATAGTCACATGATCTTGAGTAACGACAGATACACAATATGAAGATGGAAATCATCAAACCTTGGAGTACAGATTCAACAGCGGCATTTGGAATGAGCAAACCAACGATCCTTTGCTTATCCGTTGTGGTCTCGATCCTTACAACACGTATACGTCTATGGCTGGGGCGAGCCTGATTTAAGAAGTTAAATTAACACATGGTGGTACTGAGAATAAACCAAAGGGTAAACACTCAATTTAGATCACAGAGCATGAAATGGTGGATTTTCTTCCAGCAAAAAGAAACTCATCGAAATTTGGACACCAAGTAATATGGCATCAGTGGAACTGTGGAACAGATTTTCCCAATTTTGATATAATCCGAACTCCTTCCAGCAAACATTGTCCGCTCTTTAGTTTGTAGAAGGAGAACCATCAATAGCTGGAGAAGAGACCCCAAACTGGCAACATACTATGCAATCACAGTTAAGTAGTAGCCCATGGGAATCTTGGGTGATGGGGGTGGGGGTGGGGTAGGAAGATATGCTATTGCCACAAGCAGTTAATACCAGTACAAATATTGCCCTTAACTTTCCAATTGTATGTTGTTGTAGTGTTGTACACCAGAAATTTGTTTGCAAATCATCACAAAATAATAATTTCAAATGTAAAATCGTAAAACCTGCTTGGAAAGAGCTTTCTCGATTGTTCCCCACACTGGAAGTACAAGGCCACCCAAAACATTCACTTCCTGCAGTCTTCTACCAACCGTACAATAATTGCCCAATTTACATTTCGGGCCATGCATGCACTGTGAATAAAACAAGCATACAAAATGATGATACATAAAATGAATCAAGCTCTAGATTGTTGAGATTATTAT